ATTGTATTTCATCTTAATATGAAATGCCATGCATCAAAATTGAAACAATAAAGTCTACATATAGTTTTAAAAACTAACATTCACAGTCCAAATATCTATAAAAGTAAACCATATCCCACTTAAAAGAAAAATATTATTAATATGTTTTTATAAACCTGCTATCATTTTGGGAAAGGTCATAGAACTTGCTGGATGTGCTTTGCCAATGTAGAGACCAAAATCCTCACTTCCCTTGACATCTTTCTCCTTCTGAATTGAAAAAAAAAATCACAAAACTCAATTTTTCTAGTTATCATTTCCCTGTCTTTATTGATTTGTGTACTTACTATATAAATATGTGTGTGTATATTTGTGCATGTGTGTAGAAACAAATAGAAATACAACTTAAGTGTTGGCAATATTGATAATTTTCTTTTTTTTTACTTTTTCTTTATTGATTATGGCATTACATTTGTTCAATTTCCCCTCCTCCATTCCCCTCCACCCTGCACACCCCTTCCCCACCATTCTTCCCCTGTAGTTCATGAACATGTGTCTCAAGTTCTTTAGATTCTATATTTCCCCTATAATTCTTACCCTCTCCCCTATCTATTTTCTATCTACTGTCTATGCTACTTATTTTCTGTACTTTCTCCCCCCTTCTCCTTCTCCCACTCCCCTGTTGCTAACCCTCCACGTGATCTTCATTTCTATGGTTCACTCCTGATCTAGCTGTCCTCTTAATTTGCTTTTGTTTTAGGTGTGGTTGTTAATAACTGTGAGTTTGCTGTCCTTTCACTGTTCATCTTTTTTATCTTCTTTTCTTAGGTAAGTCCCTTTAACATTGCATATAATAATGGCTTGGTGATGATGAACTTCTTGAATTTGATCTTATCTGAGAAGCACTTTATCTGTCCTTCTGTTCTAAATGAAAACTTTGCTGGATAGAGCAATCTTAGTTGTAGGTCTTTGATTTTCATGACTTGTAATACTTCTTTCCAGCCCCTTCTTGCCTGTAAGGTCTCTTTTGAGAAATCAGCTGACAGTCTGATGGGAAGCCCTTTGTAGGTGACTGTCCCCTTATCTCTTGCTGCTTCTAGAATTCTCTCTTGCATTTTAATCTTGGCTAATATAATGATGATGTGCCTTGGTGTATTCCTTCTTGGGTCCAACTTCTTTGGTACTCTCTGAGCTTCCTGGATTTCCTGGAAGTCTATTTCCTTTGCCAGATTGGGGAAATTCTCCTTTATTATTTGTTCAAATAAGTGTTCCACTCATGGCTGTTCCTCTTCCCCTTCTGGTACCCCTATAATTCAGATGCTGGAACGTTTAAAGATGTCCTAGAGGTTCCTAAGCCTCTCCTCATTTTTTTGAATTTTTGTTTCTTCATCCTTTTCTGTTTGGTCATTTTTTTTCCTCCTTCTGGTCCACTCCTTTGATTTGAGTCCCAGTTTCCTTTCTATTGCTATTGGTTTCCTGTGTATTTCCATTCATTTCAATTAGTTTAGCCTTCATATATTCCTCTAATTTGTGACTGTAATCAACCAGTTCTGTGAGCATCCTGATCACCAGTGTTTTGAACTGTGCATCTGAAAGTTTAGCTATTTCTTCATTGCTTAGATTTATCGGCTCTGAGTTGTTCTTGAGCCATGTTTTGATCTGTTCGTGCCTGTTACCTACGAGGAGAGTCTCCTTGGTGTTTCCTGGGGTGGGGCCACACAGGTCGCAGGTTTGTGACACTGTATATGGGGGCAGGGTCAGAGAGGGAGCAAGGCTGTCTTCTCTGCTCGCCCAGTCAGTCTGCCTCACCGCTCACTGCTTGCCCCCGCCTGCTTATCCGAGCACGAATGTGCGAGTCTGCCACCCTGAGCCAGTTGCTGGGGCCTGGGAGATTTGTCTCAACACTAGCCTCTTCACTGGTTTATCTCCTTGCAAATGCCTGACTGACTGCAGACAGCCAGCAGCGCCTCTTCCCTGGGTTCCGCCTGTAGCTAGCTCACACCTGGGATCCGTGCCCCTGGCTGCCTGTGCACCACCGGGATCTCTTTTGTCCAACTGGCTCCGCTGCTGCTTTTGCCCCTCTCACCAGTTTAGCTGAGTGGTCTGTTGTTTGTGGACTTCGTATTTGATTTTCTGTGTGGTTTGGTTGTGTTTATTATTGTTAAAACTTTATTGTTTTTAGATTTGGTTGTGCGAGGATGAAAAGTATTCCCACCTATGCCTCCATCTTGGCGGAAGTTCAATAATTTTCATAAATAAACATTTCTGTGTATATGCTTACATTAACTGCTTTTAACAATGCTTCATCACTAGGTTCAGTCAGATATTTAGAGCTGTTTAATTTTTTCACCTCTGTGTAATATTACCCTAACATAATAATTATATAGAAATTATTATTTTATCGACACTTAAATATGTATTTACATTGGCTCATTTTTACTCTTTTTGTGCTAATATGAACACCATAGTACCCTTTGACCCTTTTCAAATATTTGTATAAACAACATTTATGTCCATTTATTAAATTTTTTTGTAATGGGGTATGCCCATTTTGTGTTGTCTAAATAAGGACAAATGGTTTTACAAGGCTGCTTAGTCCCCAATTCTTGACTTTAGTATAAAAATAACACTTTTTTTTACCTTTTGAAAGATCTCTCTATTCTATATTTTGTTTGATGAATTTTGCTATTCAAATTTACATATTAAAAAGTTAATTGTTTATCTTTTTACACTTCCATCAATATTAGCTTACTGGAACTATGAAGTTTGAGTATGATAGTTCAGGTGCAAAAGAATTTTCTGCAACCAATACATAAATGAAAAAGTTAATAAAGAGGAAGGAGGAGGAGAATAAGGAGGAGAAAGTCAAAGTAGGGGGAAGAAGAGGGAGGAGAAAGAGAGAAAGGGAGAGGGGGGAAGGAAGAGGATGATGAGGAGAGGAGAGAAGAATAGCAGGAGAACAAGGAAGAGGAAGTGGGGTAGGGTTAGGAAAAGGAGAAGAGTCAAACAAAACCCATGTCTCTAAACAGCTGAAACATATGTAGATTGCTTCCTCCAGACTCCTGCAAGTAATGTGGCAAGATTTTAATGCCATTAGCAAAAGAGAAAATATATGAAGTAATATCAAAATTGAAAATATTTTAAAATTCCCAATTATTGTCTCTATGAGAAATAATTTCATTTATTATTTTTAATAATTCCTAACATCCTTCTTCGAAGATACCAGTGGTTTTCTCCTTATTTTTATAGATGAGACATTCTAGACAGAGAAAACAATGCTTTACAGCATGTCACTTCAGTATGAAGATGTCAATTGTTTCTTAGTACTTTGTAAAATAAAATTTTATTTATTTATTTTTAGAGGGAGGAGAAGGAAGGAATAAAGAGAGAGACAGAAACATCAATGTGTGAGAGAAACTAGGGACCATGCGCCCCAACTGGGGACTGGCCTGCACCCCAGGCATGTGCCGTGACTGGGAATCAAAATGGTGACCCTCGTCTCTGCAGGACAACGCTCAACCCATGCCAGTCAGGGGTTCATCAGTACTTTGATTTGAATGTGTGTGTGTGTGTGTGTGTGTGTGTGTGTGTGTGTGTGTCTATCCAATAACTCACAGGTACCTTACTCTGAAATTCATGGCCTACCTTGGGCTCTGAGAAGGTTAACTTATTGCCAAAAGTGTCCATGTGCTCTCTCCTTAAACAAAGGCTTGTCTTTGGGGACTTAGAGTGAGTGATCAAAAAATCAGAATGTGTATCAACCAATGCCAGACCTCGAAATTATTCCTCCCCACAGTTTTCATTTAACAACCATGGAATCTACCTCCAAAGAGGGGGAAAACAAATTTAGGTAATGTTTGTTAGCCATTATGAACAAAAAGCAAAAGCTCTGCTCATTCTCACCCACTGCCCTGTTTCCACTTGTTCTAAATGGGAAATAACCAAAAGCAACCCACTAATGCAATTGTATGTTTTTATTAATTAATTTTTAATATTTAATTTATTGGGGTGAAATTGGTTAATAAAGTTATATAGGTTTAGAATATACGATTCTATGATACAATATCTGTATATTGCATGGTGTGCCCAGCACCCCATGTCACATCTTCTTCCATCACCAGATAGTTGGCCCTCTTTTCCTCCTTACTACCCTGAAGCCCCCTTCCCTCTGGTAATCGCCACAGTGTTTATCTGTGTCTATGAGTTTTTGTCAGTTTTCTGTCTCATTTGTTCATTTGTTGCCTTCAGTTTTACATCCCACATTTGAGTGGAATCATAGTGTTCTTGACTTTTTTAGTCTGACTTAAAGGGCCTATGTAATATGCCCTGTTTGCTTTAACAATTTAAAGTTTTTACAAACCTGGTAGCATAAAACTTCTTTATTCCTAGATGACAGCAGTCATCTCCTGCATGTTCTGAGATGTGAAATGTTTCATCTCAGACTGAAAAAGGTACTCACCAGAATAAAGAGGAAATGCCAAGGCAATGAGGAACATAGCTTTGCTCCATGATGAGAAGAAAGACATTTTATCAAGTCTGTGGAAGAAACCTTTGGCATGTTTACATCACATGACACAGGGACACATTTCCCATCTCCTAAGAAAAGTTTCTAATTGGTAAAGAAACCCCTCTGCCCCTTTGAGTCTTAATGAAGGTGGACTATACTCTCTTTGCTCCTCACAACTCTCAGCTTCAATGGGACAGATACATGAATAGCAGGCCTCCTAGAGATGTGAGTGCAATTCCAAGACAAGTCCTCTCAGCACACTTAAGAAGGAGCTGTTCATTCCCACCCCTTGGCTCAGCCCAAAGAGGCCTGACTCCATTTAAGGAAATGTGCATGTTGGATTCTCCATTCTTTCTCAGAGAATGGAAGCATTTCAGGAAGGACTGAGCCAGAGCAGTCCTCACAGCAGCACTGCACCCCCAGGCCACCCCACAGCTTCCCCACCTGACCTACCTGAACCAGACAGGGCAGTGGAGACTGTGGCCTACAGCTCGAGAGACTGTGCCTGTTCTGTTTACCTTTCTTTCTCAGCCACTTCCACCTGCTGAGGCGTCTCCTTAATCTGCTTGCTGGTGAGCAGCTTCCTGGGGCAAAACAGATGGCTTAAGGCAGATAAGACTCTGAGGTATTTTGTGTTCTGCACCATGAACTATCTCAATAGGTCTTCCCTCAGCAAGGGGTTTGGGCCAGTTTGATCTGATGAACACAAAGCATGAGGATGGGAAAAAGTAATAAGAATAATTATAGATCCTGAGATAGAGCAAATATAAGCCTTCCAAGCTATTGAGTTGGAAAGAACAAGAGAATCAAAACCAGTCAAAAAGAGTTTTATGGAATGTAATTTGGCCCATGCCTAGACCCTTAGTCTGTAACACTAAAGCACAGTAGACTCAGGGGGAGATTTGCTTTAAGTTTAAACTCTTCTTAAAGTTTAAATTTAAGTGTTTTATTTTGCAATATTCATAGACTCACATACCATTGTAAGAAACTATTAGTAGAGTTCACCTGAACCCTTTAACTAGTTTCTGCCAATGGGAACATCTTGTAAAACTATAGTACACATTTCCCAAGTGGGATTTGACATTGGCTAGAGACCTTTTATCAATGTCACGTTCAAGATTGTGAATCAATTGCTTATAAACGAGCTCCGTTTATGAGGAGTATCTGCACAACCAGCTCTAGAGCCAAGACTAGAGGATAGGATGTGAGTGGCAGAAACAGGAGAGACCTTATTGTGGTAATCATTTTTGACATATGCATGTATCCAATCATCACATTGTCCACCTTAAATTTATACACTGTTTTATGTCAATTATATCTCAGTAAAACTGGGAAAAAATAAAGAAGGCTCATGGAGTGAGGGTGAGGCCACATGGAGCAATGCCTTCAATTACATGTCTCTCTAATTAATTAATCTTCATAGTCTGATTTCTGAAAAGTCTTTGGCAGTAGAAATACCTGAGTCCAAATCCCATTGCCACTGAGTAACCTTGACACAATATTTAGATTGTCTAATAAGCAACTTCTTTATTTTAAATGGGCAAGCAAAAATTCCTGTCTCTTAGATGTTAGGGATAAAATATTAAAACAATCTGCATTCAGGTTGGGTGTTAGACTTGCATTTGCCATTGTATTCTAACCGCCTTTCACAGCAGTGGAAAAAGCTGGAATTCAGGTAAGGAACTTTTGAGTGTAGCACTAGTCAATTCCAATTTAGTGGAAGAACACAAAATCTGATGAGTGCAGGAACTGCTCTATTATTATAGTTTCTTATAGTAGCTTTTTGTATTATTTACATGGACACCATGAGAGGCACCTGAGGCAAATCAATCCTTCTGGTACAGGACATCTGAGGAAAAAGTCAGCTGAAGCTTGGAGTTGAAATCATTGTGAAGCCTTCTACATCTCATACATTCAACTTCTCCATCCATATATATGTATTTATCAGCAGACATCAGGAGCAGGAGAGACTGACTGCCTGTGAATCACGGCAGACTATAAGATTTGGGGGTTTTGTTTTTATTAGCTGGTAAAGGGAAAGTTATATGTATGAATTAAAAGTTTCATGAAGAAAGAAAAAAATATATAATTTGTATCAGAGGTGAGGTAAGGAAGCAGAAGACTGTGTCTTTAACATAATACCAATACTAAAGGAGATAGAGAGGAAGAGAGAGAGGAAAAATGGGTAAATTTACTGCCCTGTACATTGTGGGGAAAGAAACCCATCACTTTGGGAAATAACAGGAAGGAACTACCTGAATTTAACCTAGGCATGTAAAACACCAACTAAGATTTGGATGCAACATTTTCCCAGGTCACTGAATAATGTGGGCTTTTTGTTTAGTTTTTTTTTAAACTTCATACTTTGAAAAAAAAAGGATTTAAAAAGTCCACATTTCCCAATATTTCAAAGAAGTCTAAAGTCTTCCAGTCTACCGCCTGACTCAGAAGAGACCAAATTTGTTTGGTGTCTTATACTATGCTATAAAGAGGCTCAGGCAATGATCAATACAAATGTATCTGGGTCAGACCAGTCAAGTACAAAACAAGAAAATTCTAAAATGCTTCCTTTCAAGGAAATAATATAAAAGAATCACTTGACTGAACATAGTATGCCACAATTTTACATTAAAAATTCTACTTTGTTAAATTATCTCAGAAATAACTTTGATAGTAAGAATTAAACCAAAACTTTCATGACTGGACAGCTATTACATTTCCTTCTCCTTAGATTTAACTACTTACTTTGTCAGATACTCCAGCTTTTCTCTACACTTTGATCTGGACCGTGTGCCCTATTCTATCATCTGCTTTCCTGCTACCCTTGCTGTGTTGGATCCACGTATTCCAAATAAAAATTACTATCTAAATTCCCTACTGCTAAACAGAGCTCCCTTGGATATAAAAGTACTTGCATTCACCACTGACCTCTGTTCAGTATCTCTGATGTCATTTTTATTAAAGTATTCTTTTTACCAGCTCTGATCTCACAATCATATTGGGTTTTCTTCCTATTCTTGACACCCATGTTGGTAATCAACACAATAAATATCCTAGTGAGACCTTTCTAATCAGCTAGGTTTTAGACTATGCGAGATTTAAATCACAATTCAGGTGAATACATTAAATTTCTACATTTCAATATCTGTAGATTAATGGTTTTAAAATTGATCTGTGCTCGTACCTTTAAAAATGTAATAAAAGCTTTGGACACCCTTAAGGGAAAAGTAAACAGAAACTTTATTTTGCCTATGGTTCCAGAATATTCTAAAGCCAATTAATGCATCATTTAAAAAATCTTAAATCAGTTTCAAATCAAGTGTCCAGAGACGACCTGGACTGTGGTTTAAACTATAGCTTGTTACCAGACTTGTAATGTAAGTATTTTTTAAGTGGGAAATCCTTTTTTTACATGCAATGATGAGATTTTTATATCTATTAGGGTTTACAATTGCTACTATAGGTCCTGAAGTATTAATTGCTTTGAACAGATACAAGGTTTGTAGAAGTCTTGAAAATAAACAATCCCAGAAATCAGAAGCAACTGTGGAACTGACTTTATTCACAGTGAAACAAACTTGAAAATAATGTAGGATCCATCACATCTGTTAGACTTATGCTGACGTCAATTTAGAACTCCCAGGAAATCCACTGTTTAAAGATAATTGAAGGTGAATTTTGACATTCCAGGCAATTTGGTTGCTGTAAATGCTTAGCATCTTCCTTCATAATCCAGAGTCAGGTTTCCATCACTCAACCTCAAAAAAAGTTATTGAGAGAAATCAAGGACCAAGTAATTGTGGTACCACCATAGAGAGAAAATGTGATTATTTGAAAATCATGTGGGGAAAAAGCAGGCCAGGGCTCTGGATTGACTTTTTAATATCAACTGTTCTGAGAATTTGTAAACTTTGTGCCAGCCCTTTCTGGTCTTTGGACAAGGTGCCTTATCTATGAAAGGGGAGAAGGAGTACTTAACTTTCCTTCAACTCTAGCTTTTATGACTACAGGGGACACTCGCCTTTAACATTTATGTATTTCTGTAATAACTACTTACCAAGCACTTAATAAACTATGGAACTATCAAAAACAGGAGAGGTATGATTTTACCTTATTCCTACATTCACAGATAAACACAGAAAATAAGTGTTTATTTTGAAAGCTGGGATATCTAACCCTTTCTTGGCTACATATTCTAATTTTAAGCAGCCTTATAATTATTTTTTGTAGGTAAATAAAGTGTAACGCTTAAAGGTTGGCATGGCTTACCAAAACCAACCTTTAATTTTGTTCTTTAAATTTAAAATATACCTTAGTAGTTTACAATTAGAGATCCTTCAGATTCAAAGTCCCTTTTATCCTCTAATAGATTTTATTTGTTTGCTGTTTTTTTATTGCAAAAAAAATGAAAGCTCCATGGGAGCATGGAATTCTGTGTATTTTGCTCATTATCTTATCTCTAGTGCATAGAGCAATGCCTGGTACATAGTGGATATTTAATGAATATTTGCTAAATGAATGACTCAATAATAAATAAGAGAAGCTGAATATAAACATACCCTTAGGACAAATACCCAGGGAACTATTAGGAGGAAACTACAAAGGCACAGAGAAAAATATTCTCTATTTCCTTTGGTTAGAATAGTACTTTCTGATCCAAAGAAACATCAAGTCCTCTTACCTTTTTGCTTCATTAAATAGACAATGGTTACCATAGGTTTTCCCATCAGAACCACAGACTGGTTTGTAGATAGAGTTACATTTTGTCTTTCCAATTGAGTTCTTGCTGCTGATGGTGTCAGTCTGCGGTAACATGAAAGACCATTGGATAAATATGGGAGACTCAATTTAATTCTGATATTGTAAGAAAAGAAACATTTATTGCTCATTAACTATTGAGCAATAAATTGAGCATTATACTAAACTAATCATTTTGTTGATCCTTTGTATTTTCACTTAATCCATGCAACAATGTAAGAGTATACATCTGCCCCATTGTATAGTCACAGGCATACAGTGTATTTAAGTGACAAACCCAAGACCACATGTGTGTTAAATATCCAAGCTGGGATCCAAACCCTGAGTTATCTGACTCCAGAGCCCCTGCTTTATTACATGTTAGAATGCCTTTACTTTAACTTTCTAGATAAGCCTTCTCCTACCTGATAAATGATAATTAGGGAAAAATAATACTGGCAAATACAAAACACATGTGCCCATATTTATTGTACCTTACTTTTTTCTTGTTTCATAAAAGAAAAATGAGGCAGGAGGTAGACTTATGCAGAGTCAGTTAAGTAGTACCTGAAGGATTTCCTCGGAATCAAGTTCTAGAATGACAGCAGCCTTTGAAAAGAAAGAAGCTTTGACTAGCAGGTGGGAACAGAAACACTAAATGCCCTAGGGAAGACCTATAACAGGAAAGTTAGTCTTCTTAGAGCCAAGGAAAATGAACAAATACCTTGGTATTTTCCACTGGTTTAGAGTTGACCATCTTCTTCATATCAATCCATTACTTTTATTTCCACATACTCTGTTAAGTGACAATCCAAACACTCAGAGACCTTCCAGTGGTGGCATTAAGGTCTGAATGGCAGGAATGTCTGTGAGCGATTGTTACTTCATGCCAGCCAAGACATAAAGACCAAGAGTGACAGGCAGCTTTTATTTCAAATGGAGTTGAAGAATGATCAATTATGAGATAAAATGAAGTTTCATTAAGATAATCGCATGGAGGTGGTGTTCTAGAAAACTCTTTTGGGTATATTAAGTGAATTGTCTGGAGTCATTGTTAGATGATACTAGGAGGCTGGCAGTTGAGAGATAGACTGGCAGTGAAGGCAGAGCACAGCAGAACTCAGAAGGCAATACAGGTGTCATGGATGTGCACCTGTTTGCATGATGGCTCCCAAACATCAGGCATTCATCTACTTATCTGACAAGTAGTTCAAGAGAACCCATCCTATGCCTATGTTCTTCTAGCATTTGGGGATACAAGTTTGGAAAGAAATGGTACTTTTTAAAGGAGTTTATGCTAACTGAGAAGGCAGTCAATTACCAAACAATAAGGTATACATCACAATAAAGTATATCATTAGTAATAGGAATACATTTGTAGAAAATCAAAGGATTCTATACAGTGCATACAATAAGTGAGCAAGAATGGCATGATATGTCTGTTCATGTCCAGTTATGAACAGGGCATTCAATCTTGAAAACTTTTAAATGTCATGCTCAGGGGGGTGGAATTTATCTTCTAGGTAGTGTGGCACCACTGAAGAAGTTTCAGCAGAAGAGTGACACATCAGATCAGATTTGTGATTTAGAAGTACCACCAGAATGCTTCGTAGATTATGGAAACTAGCATGAAACATTAAATCTGGTAGAAGTGAAGCTCAATTAATGAGGGTTTGAGCTAGTGCAGTATAGGTAGAAAGGCTTGAGTGGAAAGAGTAGAAGGACATGAAAGATGTAATGGAACACAACAACACTCACTAATTAATGATCATAGATGTGTACAAAAATAACCATCTCCAAAATCCCTCTCCTTTTGTTGAATCAGGGTCATTGCAAAGTGCTTGTCATTAGTACAGTGAATTCTGTTAACCAGTTCAAAACTGGGAAAATAAAATGGCTGAGATAAGATGACTGAAGAAAGTGAAGAAGTTAACACAAACCTGACTTTCCATATTGCCATCCAAAGGGTTGCCTACATTTTTTCTTTCTTCTTGATTGTAAAAAGACCTTGGTTTTCTTTGTTGGCTAGATGATCCTGGCCTCCCTTGCTGGCTAAAAGGTCCTGGTTTTCCTTGCTGGCTAAATGACCCTAAACCCCCTTGCTGACTGAAAGATTCTGACTTTTCTTGCTGGCTGGAAGATGCTGGCTTCCCTTGCTGGCTAGCTGACCCTGGCTTTTGTTGCTGGCCAGAAGATTCTGACTTTTCTTGCTGACTAGAAGATACCAGTTGTCCTTGCTGGCTAAATGACTCTAAACCTCCTTGCTGGTGGGAAGATGCTGGCTTCCCTTGCTGGCTAGAAGATCCTGGTTTTCCTTGCTGGCTAACTGACCCTGAACCTCCTTTTTGGCTGGAAGATACTGGCTTCCCTTGGTGGCTAGAAGATCCTGGTTTTCCCTGCTGGCTAGCTGACCCTGACTTTTCTTGCTGGCTGGAAGATTCCAGTTTTCTTCGCTGGCCAAATGACCCTAAACCACCTTGCTGGCTGGAAGATGCCAGCTTCCCTTGCTGGCTAGAAGATCCTGGTTTTCCTTGCTGGCTAGATGACCCAGAAACTCCTTGCTGGGTAGCAGACCCTGGCTTTACTTGCTGGCCAGAAGAGTCTGACTTTTCTTGTTGGCTGGAGGATCCCAGTTGTCCTTGCCCATTAGCATTTCCTGAACTACCTTTTTGGTTAGATTCTCCTGAATGCCCCTGCAGACCCCCAGCCTGATTTAAAACTCCTGGCTTCCCTTGCTGATTAAAACTCCCTGGTTTCCCTGGCTGGTTAGAATACCCTGGATGTCCTCGCAGGATAAAAATTCCTGGTTTCCTTTGTGTGTTGCCATCTTGTTGCTTATTAGATTCCTTTTGTCCTCCTTGACCATTAGCTTTATTTTTTTCCTTGAACATAAATGCAGGTTCTGGAGCCTCTTCTAGTTTAATAACACTTGTCTTCAAAGTCTGGGTTGAAGACACTGAAATGATACCATTAGCACAAAAATAAAAATAAAGTTATTTAACTTCAAGAAGTTAAAATCACCACTATTCATCCAAGATATAGTTTGTAGTTAATGCTTCTTTGATATTTTTTTAACCAAAACTCAAGAACAGAGTCTTATCATTACATCTCATAACTTGAATATTTTGGTTCCTCCATTTCTTTCTTGACTGTATTACCTGGTTTCCCAAAAGCATGGGGTCAAGACAGCTTGCCCCATTTCTACATCAGAGTGTGAATTGTCTGAACTAGGCCTTTATACTATTCCAAGATCCTTTTAATGATTTCCTCATTAATTAAACAGACTATGATTAACATCTTTTAAAAACTTCCTCCATATCACAGAACCGTTTCCCATATTCCCAGCATCACCTTACTGAAAATGGCATGAACTTCCTGCACATAAAAGCTCTCAGGCATGAGCCCTCCTTTCATATTCTCTTCATCTTTATATTTGCCTTCTGTAGATATAGTCTTTCCCTATGCCCTACTCTAAAGATGTGGTTTTCCTTCCTGAGAACATACTTTCCTTTTTAATCAGTATATGTCCACCATTTCCCATAAAGGCTTTAGTATCAATCAATCAATCATAGTCTTCCTTTTGCTTTTCCTCTTCTGATTTTACAAACTCTAAATACATGTTAAGCATGGCTATGTATTGTAATCAGGTATTCCTGATTCCTTACTCTTATTTACCCTCCAAATCTATATAAATACTACATGTGTTATTAATGTACTTTCTTTCACCAACAAATGCCTACTGAATACATACTAAATGTTACCTAGCAAGACACTGAAGTACACAAGAGATATGGTATCTGCCATCATGAAATACACGTTTTAGTAGGGGACTTTATATGTATTTGTTTTTTGCATATAAATATATTTTTACATATATACATATTTCTCTTCCCTTCCCCCATCATATCACTTAGCTCTGCATTATTACTTCTTACCTCTATTATTTTTACAGCTCCATAAGTGGCATCTCTGTACAATTTTCCTCACATCTAATCCATTTTCAATATCACTACAGGCTGATAGTTCTTAACAGAATTCGTCTGATCAACCCTCTACTCAAAACCTGAAAACAACTGCAATGCTCAAAATGAGAAGAGAACCACTACTTCTTGTGTTCCAGCTATAAGCAGCTGAAGGTAATAGGCACTTTACCTTCATTACTTTCTTTCACTACATGTAGGAGATCATAATTTGGAGATTAATTGGAATAGGTTTCATTTAACCTAATTTATTGTCTTGAGAAATGTATTATCTGTGTCATTTATATCTTGAGAAATTCACACTGCTGGCTGGACATCCTAACTGTATGAGGTAAGGAATGGAGAGAAGCATGTTGGGTGATTGGCACCTAAGGAGAATGCAAGTAATGGTGGCTGATGCTAGCATACACATGATTCCTCTAACAACATGTAGGAGTATATAATTATTTCCATTATGCAAATGAGAAAAATAAGGCTAAAATAAGTTAAATAGATTACCCCCAAACATAAGTAGAACATTGGAAAGCCAGGAGTTGAACCATTTTCTATTTGACCATACAGCATTGAATCCTCACACAAAATTATATCTTTTACGGAACATAACAAATACTCACAAACTCTTATAATCCTTTTAGACTGAATTTTCTTTCCAGTCTAAAGTTTTACTTGTCTCTCACTCACTTGTCTCTGTTTCTCTTCAGGCACACCAAACTATCCACTGTTGTCTCACCTGATCAGTATTTTTATGCCCCTGGTCTGTATGTTATCTAAAATTGCCTTGTTCCATTTCTCTGATAGAGACTCCCATTTTTAAAAATTTCTGCCTAAGTATTTCTAATAACTGAGTATTTCTATTTTTTTACTTCAAGAGTTGGAAGAAAAGTCATTGAATGTAACTTTTCTTACCTGAGAACATGGTCAAGAACATGAAGGGAAGGAAAAGGAAAGCCTTCATGTCACAGCCCGTTGTTTCAGACTCAGCTGAGTTGAATGGAGCTAAAAGCCACTCTTCAGTAGATACTCTCTGACTAAACATGTTGATCACCACCATGTTATATATTTGAAAAATCCTCCACCCTAATTGCTAAACATGGTCATTGTGTTTGAAAAAATTACAGAGCAACTTTCACAAACTGGAAGGTGTTGCGTCTTGAGTGGATTGTCATTTTTAAAATTAGCTTCACGCCCCAACTCCCATTAATATCCAAACTTTAATATGCTTCTATCAGGTATATTCCTCACAGAAAAAATTTACAATGGAGAAACTCCTCTGGGAAAGTAAATTCAGTGTTCACATTTTTTATCGTTAAGAGAAGACTTATGTTCAGTCAGTAATCTTATTGACCCTGTAAGGTTGTATGTCCACAATAGACATTCCCACGACCTTACCATGCAAATAAATTATGTGCCAATTACTTACCCCAAATTATATTTTAAAAGCAAGTAAAACCACATTGAGTATTGGACATTTGTAAGTGACGAATACATCCAGTGGGGGATGATGATGGGTAAGGTAGTTTTATGAGGTAACAGGAGACAATAGATTTCATGTGTGAGAACAGCACTACACTCTTGGCCTTCTTGCCTCAAGCTGTTATGCCAAACAGAAGCTCATGGGAAAGTCACCTTGGGATATTTAGTCAGTCATAAACTCAATGTTATAAAACACTGGAATATTGTGTTCAAGGTTGGCTGTCCCATAGAAGAAAAACTTGAATTAATTGAAGCATGTCTAAAAGAAAATGACCTTGATAAAGTGAGGTCTAGAGACCATAGAGCAAAAAATTCATTGATGGCAGTGAGAAAAATAAGCTTGAATAAAGACAGACTTTGCAGTGATATTGACATTGCATTCATCATCTGAAGGGCATTTGTATGGAGAAAGAAGATGGAATTTGATCAGCATAGTACTAGATGACAGAACTCTTCCAATATAAGTGCAGGATAAACATATTTGAATTCTAAAGAAAATTTTAGCTTTGAAAAGGAAGATGAAAAAGATTATTTTTACAGTCTCTTACAGTTTTAAGATCCCCAGATTTAGGGTTTGTGGATTGTGTTTGGTTTTTATGTTAGCCTATTTAGAAGAACAATATTTTTAAATGATAAATAATTTCTTTTAAGCAAGACAATCATTTTAAGGCACCAAGAGACAAATTAAAAAAATTATAGTAAGAAGGCAACCTTTTTCCCCTACATAATTATTCTCTATACCAACTAGAATTCATATGAATGTACATATGTATATGTACACATAAATGTATATATTAATATATACCACATATAATGTACCTCATATAACTTACTCCATATTATATACACATTTATTAAAGGTCAAATGATTTTTAACAAAATTTCATTTTGAAAAGTTTCAAAATACAGACAAATTGAAATAATTGTACAGTAAAAACCCATGGGAGACCATCAGCATTCTTCAACTAATATTTCGATACATTTGCCCAACTCTGTATTTATCAAAATGGGTAAATATGATACCAGTTAATTTCATATCCAGAAACTCATCTATAGCATTCAATACATTGAATTCCTGAATATCAACAAGTAGACCACCATTGCTGCATTTGCATTTTTCTAAAACAAATACTTCTTAAACACTTAGCACCATCATCTCTCTTAGCCATGCTTTAGAGTATTGCTGAGGTACTCAACCTCAGTGAGTATTGTTGCGTTGAGTAAGGCAATGCACTCTTGCTTTATATGTTTTTTTTCAAACCATTCCAGAGGTCCTTTTTAATCATTGCTTTTAATTTTCCAATACTTCTAAAAGGTATATTTATTTTCTCCTTTAATGAGAATTCTCCCCCCTTTAGAATTGTCTTCCATTATTGTCTTCTTTTATTTATAATTGGGAGTGAGGTCAAAATTCTGCCCTGGAGTAGACTCAGAAAAGACTCACCCCAGCCACTAATTAGAGAAAGGGAGAGGCTGTCTCATGTATCCTGGAGTGGGATTCAAGGTCAAGGCTATTCTTTTTTTTTTTTTAAGATTTTATTTATTTATTTTTAGAGAGGGGAAGGGAAGAAGAAAGAGAGAGAAATATCAATATGTTGTTGCCTCTTACATGGCCCCCACTGGGAACCTGGCCCGCAACTCAGGCATGTGCTCTGACTGGGAATCCAACTAGTGACCCTTTGGTTTACAGTGCCACACTCAGTCCACTGAGCTACACCAGCCAGGCAGTCAAGGCTATTCTTATAGGAGTCATCATATTTGAGTGGAAATAACAGCAACAACGTCAAATGACCTGAGGTGTTTGGCTCCCCTCTTTTTTTTAGCTATGTGATCTTATGCTAGCTGATCTATTTGTCTCTCTCCCTTCATTTGCCTTTTATTTCTTCCATTTCTCTTTTCTCTTATTTATAGAATTATGATATTACCCCACTGCCAGAGTCAAATTTTGACAAGAGTTTTTTGGTTTGATTAAAAAGTTCATCACTGCAGTCTAATCACCTTGGTTTCTGATGGTAACCTATTTCATAGTGTCCTGCATCCAGTTAACCTGATTCTGTCTCAGCAAGCTGAAGGGTGGGGAACTTTGAACTCCCTATGTGCTTTCTCCTGCTGGATACTCTAGCCACTATATTTCCTTCAATTCCTTCTCAGCGGGGAATAAAACTTGTCAAGTTCTGTTCTTTGAACCTCAGGAGGTGTGTGAAGACTGAGCATAGTAAAAGCTAGAAGACTTCAGTTATATAGCATTCATTAGGCTGTCTATTCATACTTAAACATAAATAAGTTGAATTGAATCCAGCAGATAAATCGAATTGTTTGGTCTGATCTTTTAAGTTCATATTGCATGGAAGAAAATGTCTTTTATTTATTTTTATTTTTATTTTTTTAATTTTTATTTACTTATTTTTCAAGTACAGTTTTTTGTCTATTTCTCCCATCCCAGGCCCCCCGCCCCGTGCTCCCCACCTCCCTCACATTTCCACCACCATTAGTTATTGTCCTTGTGTCCTTCATACTTGTTCCTCCAAATCCCTCCCCCTTTTCCCCCTTAATTTCCATTCCCTATCCCCTCTGGTCACTGTCCCCTTGTTCTCTATTTCAGTGTCTGTTTTTATTCTGCTTGCTTGTTTGTTTTGTTGTTTAGTTTCCTATTAAAGGTGAGGTCATATGTATGGAATTTTCTCAGAAAAATAAAAATCAACCTGCCTTTTGACCTAGGATCATATCCTAAGAATCCTAAAACATCAATTTCAAAGTACCTATGCACCACAATGTTCATAGCAGCACAATTTACAATAGCCAAGAGTTGGAAGCAACCTAGGTGCCCATCAGTAAATGAATGGATCAAAAAATTGTGGTACATATACACAATGAAATTCTATGCAGCAGAGAGAAAGAGGAGCTCCTACCCTTTGCAACAACATGAATGGAACTGGAAAGCATTATGCTGAGTGAAATAGGCCAGGTGTTGAAAGAAAATGTCTTTTAAATTCAATGCCACATTGACAGTACTGTCAGAGGGAGACTTGTTGGCTGTCAGTAAGTCTCAGTAAATACTTCACAATTCTATTAAGAATAGGCCCAAGGTCAAGCACTTGGTAATATCTCCCTAACTTAAGGCCTTTTGCCCTTTCTTGGTTGACTGACTTATTTGATCATTTCACCTCACCTTCACTTCCTTAGAGTCATTAATGTCAGAACCCAGAGTCCTGCTGTGTCACAGATACCTAAGAGAATATTGGGAAACTTCTTTTCTGCTTTGGGCCTAAATTTTTTTATTCAGCATGCAACATTTCAATGCAAACTGAAATTTAAATGTATTTAGTTTCATCAGTGTTTATTGAGATGGTGCAGGTATCTGACACACACATTAAAGTGTTCCATTAAGGTTGGCTATTGTTATAATACTTATGTAAGTAAGCATTTGGGATGAGAAACTTGACCTCTGCCACCTTCACTTTATTTAAATACACAGGTGGTGACTACAGAACAACACAATGCTAAATAGAGCATGATTACAATAGTCATGGACTACATTGGCTATAATGAACATCTATTGACTTATTCCTGAGACTTTCATTATATAGAAATCTTTGATGTGCAAGTTTACAAATCCTAAGGGAAAAAAATCTTCAATAGAATCTCTTTCTCAGCCCCAGATTAACCTCTTTGTCACCACCCCAATAAATAATTACAGTACCTCTTTTTAAAACTTATCTTTAAACTTATGAGAAAACAAGCTACACAGTTTGGTCCCATGTTGATCATCAGATTTATTATTTTTAGCCATTCGAGTCCACATGTGCTGTAAATTGCTTTCTCAAACCTTACTTCCAGTTGCCTTCCATATAATGTTCATTCATAATCAATCTTACAATTATGAAGGAAGGAGTATATCTTTAGAATATACAGACATCAATACCAACAAATGCTCAATCTTTCTTTATGCAATTTATTCCTTTCTACAAAAGAGTCCATTTCCCCTACCCTTGACTCTGAGCTGGTCATGTGACTTTCTTTGATCAACAGAGTGCAGTGGATGTGACAACATTCCATTTTTAGGACTAAGCCTTAAAAGCCTGGCATGGTTGGATGAGAGACTACGGAAAGGGCAGCAGGGAGAGAAAGAGACATAAAGAAAGAGAGAAACAGAGAGACAAAAGAGAAACCTCTATAGCAACTCTACTGAAACATCAGCAATGAGACTGAAATCCTTGTGGATCCTAATAGAGCCACCCAGCCAACACAACAATGAGCAGAGGCAGACCACTTCTGCAGAGCCTGCACACATTGGAGAATAGTGGGTAGACAAATTATTTGTTTTGCGACAATAGATTATTGTTGATAAGACAATGATTACTTTTCCATAGGGAATTAACATGATAACTATAACAGCTACCATTTATGGAGGCATTTTAAATGCGTTATCTCAATGAATACTTAAAACACTACTTTGGTAAGAATAAATACTTGATGAGTAAA